GGTATATGATAAATCTCTTCTAATCTCATAGAATTTATTGTTGTGCATGATACACAAACTGATGGACATAGTACTTAGTGCACCATGTTGACTAGTGCTAGAATTTATTGTTGTGCATGATACCAAATTTTTTAGTTTCTCTTAACTGTATTAACTAAGTACTATAGTTTCTCTTGTTGCAATTTAGTTATCACAATTTACTTATTAGAAGTTCTATGACTCGTTTCAGTTACTTCTTCTTTAGTTTCTGTAGTGTTTTCTTGACTCGTTTCAGTTACTTCTTCTTTTTCCTCGTTGCTTTCTTCTCGCTCTCCAGTTACTTCTTCTTTTTCCTCGTTGCTTTCTTCTCGCTCTCCTTTGTGTTCTTCTGCCTCTGATGTGGTTTCATTCTCATTTTGATGGTTTGTTGCTTTCTTCTCGCTCTCCTTTGTGTTCTTCTGCCTCTGATGTGGTTTCATTCTCATTTTGATGGTTTTCTGAAGTTGCAACATTTCTGAAATTAACCCTTCTTTGAACCTGAGCAGACATAGTAGTGGCATTCCCCTAACAAAATTTATCATGCTCTTTAATGTGGCTATGTAGAAGTTCAACTTATATCAAACTAATCGTCGTATTTTTATTAATTAAGTAATTAATTTTGAGAAGAGCAGTGAGACGCAATCGATACATTATGGAGCAAAAACATTCAAACATGTTTAGTGACCTGTCTACAGTTATGCATCTTGTGTTGAAGTAAATATGGTCATTTAGGCATATTTTTTCCATCCCAGTATGTATGTCACTGCGACATGTGCAATGCATTATGTCATGGTACTAAGCCATTTTAGAGAACCAATACAAAAGGAAGCCCCTGAATGATCTTAAAAAGAGAAATCCTGTTGGGAATATAGGCTGTTTAGAGTATAATTATCACAAAATGCAGTTTTAACAGAATTAGATAATGATTCAAAATAGATATAAATTTAAACTGAGTTTAGAATATAGCCTGATGGTCGAGGCGTGCAAGCACTGTCCCAAGAAACTAATTGCCCCCTCTCGTACAGGGCTACGCGGCAAAAGTTCCCGGAGATACAACGACCCTCGGTCAGGTGACCTCCTTCTCGTCGGCACGAGCTTCAAGAAGGCTTTGTGAATTCTTCGTGACTTTCAGGGAACCAGCAGAATATAGTAACAAGTATAGAGTAGAGAAGAAGAGGTTTTGTGCTTTTTCACATTGTATCAAACTCTACAGATTTAGGTCCTTTTATAGGCTTAAAACATCCGTTACTCATAAATCCGCAATTAATTTATTTTAATTACCGATTTTAATTCTCATAAAAAAAATATTTTCCGTTTTGATTCTGATTTAAATCTCATGAATATTACCGTTTCAAAATTTAATTCTCTTAACCGTTACAAAACATTTATCACATGTTAATTGTTCAAAAATAAATATTACATTTTAATTATTCAAAAATAAAAATGTATCAGATTAAATGCCCATTAATCCGGAGCGGCATTCGTGTCCGCAGGTCGTGTGCGCGCGCCACCCGACCCGAACCCGAGCCCGGCCCGGCCGGCGCGCGCGTGTGTGGTGTGGAGCATAACCTTAGTTTTCTTCTAGGCATAGGAGAGAAAGGGAAGGCTTATAAAGAGCCTATCTTCCCATCTCTTTTCCAATGTAGGACTAAAGTTTTCCTCCTTTCCTCTACAAACCCAAGTTTTAAGTTATCTTTATTATATAACTCCAACAAATCCATCGTCCAATGTTGACAAAACTTACCAGTCTCCTTAGTATATAGGATGTATGTTTACAGAAAATGTTGTCAAAGTGCAACGTACATGGAGGGGCGTTAATGCAAAATTCTAAAGTCACTTTTGGGATCATGTTCAAGCAATTAATGATGCCAACTAGAATGTCTTAGAAATAGCTACCCACTAAAATCATTTTGTAGAAGAAGGAAATATGTCAAATGGAGAAGAATCTACCAGATATTGTGGGATTATTTAAAGTTAAGAACAAATTAAGCATGGCTAACAAATTAAGAAGAACTAATGTACTACCACGTGGAAAAATCTTAAAGTTTATTTTGAAGGATAGAGATAAACAGAAGTGGTCCAAATTCAGGTCTAAGTCCTGTCCAAGTCAGATAGGAAAGATGAGAAGAATTAAAATGGATACAGCAAAAGATCCAAAGACATTTTACTCTGAAGAAGGTGCGCATTATAATCAGAAATCAAATAAATACCTCACAAACCCAAATAAAATACATTAAAATAGCAGTTTTATTTATGTTTTTAAACCCTTCATTATATTGCCAGAAATGTAGGTATACATCGTCTCATATAATATAATGTTTTTAAACCCTTCATTATATAGTTTAAAAGTTAAAATTTATCTTTGCAGTAAATTGTGAATCTGAGGATCATGGTTTGGACTTTGAAGAAACTGTAGCCATCTATTTTGCTCTAATGGAAGGTTTAATTTGATGCAGGTGAGTGATTTTCTCTTTCTCTTTTTTAAAATAAAAAATTTGGTCGCCTTATTTACCAATGATATTTGATACGTTTCTTTATTTTTTGTAGGGGATATAAAAACTTAAATAGGAGAAAAGTGTTGCTTTAGCCTTATTGTTGCATTTTGTGATGGTTAATACAAGGTCAATATTTTTTCCTTATAATGGTTAGTTTAAAAAATTACCTTTCCAGTTTGTTTCTAACATGATATTTGATACGTTTCTTTATTTTTTGCAGGGGATATAAAGACATAAATAGGAGAATGCGGTCAAGATGGTTTTGATATATGAATCTTTTGAAACAGACTTATACTTGTGAATTGATCATATTTTGATGGTTGTGAATTGATCATAGGTTGAAGTTATCTTGTAACTACTTATTTTTGAATGATGGGCTTAAAACATATGAATGCTTCATTATTTTTTGAAGTTATCTTGTAACTACTTATTTTTGAATGATGGGCTTAAAACATATGAATGCTTCATTATTTTTCATTTTGATGATTTTTGAATGATGGGCTTAAAACATATGAATGCTTCATTATTTTTCATTTTGATGATATCTTAATGTATTGTGATCTTATTCCATTTTTATTTTGGTTTACGTAACTACGCTTGCTTATTGGTCAAATTTCTTGAAAAGTATCGATATAACCCTATAAAACTGTTGCCATAGCCCTATAAAAATGTTGCCATAGCCAAGCAAAACGTCGCATTAGCTACAAAACAACTGTTGCATTTGCTCCCTGATTTTGAAAAACCCGTTACCATTGTGCACGAAACCGCGACATTAGGTATCAAGAAACTATCGTTGGAACCTGTTGCATTTGCAATAACTGTTGCCTTTGTGTATGGAACTGCTACATTAGGCATAAGTAAACCGCTACAGAAAACGTTGTATTTTGTGAAAACGTTGCGTTAGCCTCGTCTTAGAAACAGTTGCATTAGGTTGTGAAACCGTTGTCTTATGGCTAGGGCAACGACAGCAATGAAGACAGTTCGTTAACCGCTGTGTTTGTGCAATTACAATGGTTTATATGTTAACGCGACAATTTTAAACCGTTGCGTTAGAGCAAGATATTGAGAAAATCATGTCATTTTTAATTTGATTGTGTGGTCGGATCTGGATCATATTTGGAAACAAAATCGGAACCCACAAAACCCACAAAGACCACAACTCTTCTCCCAAATCTCTCCACTCTCGGCTCTCCCAAATATTAAGCATATATCTTGATGCAAATTCTTATGTTTAAAATTTATTAATATGTTAGATTACATATTACAATGCATATATCTTGATGCAAATTCTTATGTTTAAAATTTATTAATATGTTAGATTACATATTACAATGTCATGTTATGTATGAATATTATCTCATTATGTTTAAAATTTATTAATATGTTAGATTACATATTACAATGTCATGTTATGTATGAATATTATCTCATTTGACACCCAATATTACATACAAATCCCTGATTTTTGCATTTCTATATCATGAATTTTATTTGTTCAATATTTATTTGATGTACAACACTTTGTAGTAATCTTTCAGAAGCCTCTTCTAAAGTTTTCTAAGTAAAGTATATAATTTTAGGAAATAATTCAAAATCTTAAGACTCATTCAAAATATGATACTTCAAATTTTCCACACCTCCTCTACTATATAAATATAAGCTAAGCATCTGGCCTTATATTGTATGATGAATATTATTTATCAATTGGATCATATACTATTGTTTGTGAATAATAAAGGTTTTAAATCTTTTATAGGCTTAACTAAACTTAAATACCTTATAGTTTATCACAATTTTATTTATATACCTCCATTTGTATCTTGTTGCCCTTTTTAAAAGAAAATTAGATAACGTATCTTGTTGCACTTAAATATCATATATAATGTTTTTCAAAATTTAATGTTTGCACATTCTGTCCTGTTACCTAAACATAATAATGCTCTTTGTACTTTTTTTATATGAGTTTCATGATATAATTTTAGGACAAATCTATATTTTCTACTCTTTCCATAAATACTTTAATGACATGTAATTAATTATTAATATATTATTTTACATAATAACTAATATGATGTAGAGTTATACAATAACGTTGGAAGTTTTAGGGACCAAATTATACAAACTTAAAATGACATATAATATAATTAATTAACAATGATAATTAATTTAGTTTAGTTAGTATTGGGATGTAATATTAACAAAAAATAGAGATAGTATAGTCCTTAGAAAGTTTTTCATAACTCTCACTTTTAAGGGGGGTATGATATGATATAATATGATATGATGATTGTATCTTTCATCCTCTCCTCATAAATCTTTTTAAGCCATGAGAAGAGCCGAGAGGTTATTCCCGTCACTCGCACGAGAACAGGAGCGGAAGAGAAGGAATATGGAGCGGAGGAAGAGATAAGGACGAGATAACAGGACATTTAATCGCGTTTTTTTAATTAAGGATTAAGGATATGCTATTAGGAGGGATCACCCACCGCAGGGAGGTTTAGGAAAGAAAATAGATATATGCAATTACACCCCAAACACATTTATATTTGTAAATACAATAAATTTGAATAATTAAGTAAAAAAACTCAATCTTTTCTTTACTTGTCCCAATAGAAAATTACTCTGGCGGAATTAACGCCACTGATAAATCCAAAACACGAAAAGTTTAGAAGAGCAAATAGCTGTACAAAATAAATAAGATAAAAATATGTCCTAAAAAATTCCGTCATTGTAATTTTCTAGTTAAAAATAATTTATGATATGTTTGTAAAAAAATCTCCCATAATTTATCTTTATTTTAATTTGTGCTCAATCTAACAATATGCTTTTACGTTTCACCAGAACTTTCCACCGTCAAAGCTACGTGTGTTGACTGCTTCCTTCTTTTTGACATTATTTTATCCTCTCCCTATAAACACGCGAGCCTTTTTTTTTATCATCCCCAAAATCTCAAAGATCCCCATTTTTTTCCCAATCCAATCAAATTCAATCCGTAGCCTAATCTGATCTCTCTCTCGATCCAAAATTCATCCCAGTTCTCTCTCTCTCTCTCTCCCTCTCCCTTCCCTTTTTCAGATTCTCCACTGACTATCGAAATTGGAGCCAGTTACGGTTTGATCTGAAGAGCATCGACTATGCCTCCGATGCTCGGCGGAGGTCTCCTTCTCGTTCGATCCATGGCCATGGAGCTCTTTGTTGTGATCTCTGTTGATGAAAGTAGTAATTGTAGTAGTAGTAGTAGTGATCGTTCAAACCGTCTTAAAAAGCTCGAGAAGTGGAATCGACGTGGTAATCTTAGCTAACATTAGGTTTCCCTTGGAACCCTAGTTGTCTTCTTCTTCTTCTTCTCGCTTTCTTTCGTTCTGCGATCTTTTTTCTTCTTCTTGCGAGTTTCTGAATTCGGGTGTTGTGGCTGGATTTGGGGAGATTCTTGAAAAAGGGAAGAAATTTGAAGCGTTGGGTTATTGGACCAGTCAAATCTTAACGGAGGTAATAAATCTTGAAGCTATTGATCAATCTTGTTGTTATGTGCGTTAATCTTTCTAGCTGTTTATGCTGGTAGAGGGGGAAACAAGGACACGTGAATTTAGAATGGAATAATGTTGTTCTGTGTTAAAATCGTAAGGTCACTGCCGAATTCACTTATCTTATATTGTTTCTTATTGGTTGCTTGATTCCGAATTCACTTATCTTATATTGTTTCTTATTGGTTGCTTGAGTTTCATTAGGTCCTTACTTGGTACCTTGTGGCCTACAATTTACAAAATTAAATGGAAATCCATCCTTTCAACTCGGTTCTGGGACCTGTTGATAATTACTTCCTGAAATCTTTCTCATCATTTTTATGATGCCATAATACATTTCATCGAGATCATTTTACTCAACGGGTACTGAACAACAAAGCCTTTCTCTGAAGTTTTAGGGATATGTTACATGAATCCTATTCTTGCAATCATTTCTATTAAAGACTATTTTCTCCACTAAGTTAAGATCAGTGTACTAATTATTTTTAATGCTGCAGATCCTACTTTCCCCCCTAAAATATTAGTCTTGTCCCTTCTTACCCCCCTTACCCACCTGGTCTTTTTTTTAGTCTTTGCATCCTCCTAACCTATTACCCTGCTTACCCCCTAGACTAGCCCCCTAGACTTTTTTTTGTGACACCTTGCTTCCTAAACTATTGAATTCTTCTCTGCTTACGAACTATCAAATTTAGTAACTGTTACCACTTCATATTTGTTACTTTGTGGATGCTTTAAGTGGATTTATGAAGAGGAAATTGATAGTTCAAGAGGTAATGTGGGACTGAAAATAGTTCATGGGATAAGCAGGGATGCCCCTAATAGTTTAGGGGGTAAGGTGAGACAAGAAATAATTTATGGGGTAAGTAGGCACCAGTTTAATAGTTCAGGGTTTAAGTACTGGCCGAAGCCTATTTTTTTAATAACATGCATTCTTGTTTCAATTAACAATTATCATTACTCGAGACCTCCTGTCTTTCTATCCAGAAGAAATCAAATGCAATTTTGGCTTGATTGGTCAAACGATTCATTTATCTGTAGTATAAGTTAAGCTGTTATTGTCTTTCTCTTGTAGTCACTTTGTAGGTTCAATGCTATTTTCTCAGTATCAGTAGATCTTTTTTATGAAGCGATATTATTAGGATTCATACTTATCTTTAAATTTGTTCAGAGTTGTCGCCTATGTTGGTTCCAAGTTGAGATATCATTTTAACCATATATTATTCTCATTGCTAGGATCTGCTGAAAATCTTTGATTAAGAAATAATAACACAAATATTTTTGTTGTTTGCTTCTATTACATTTTTATATTTTTCATTACAAGTTTGAACTTTTGCAGTAGTTTGCTCCTTTTGTTGATATAATAATAAGATGGATTGATTGTATTAACAGAAAACACTTGATGTGCTACACGCCCCTGTTGGTCTATGCATGCATTCCCTATTAGTTTATGATCGATTAGCTTCGTAATGGCGTTTTAAGTAATGAAAGAGCATCATTTGATTGCTTAAAGGTGTTTTCTATTTTCAGACCTTAGCATTTTTGGTGTGGGCTTAACAGTGTAAAAAATTGTTTGAGCCTATCTTCTTCTTCTTCTTCTTTTGAGTCTATATTGATTCTTGTTCAAAGTATGTTGAAAGTCAAAACAGTCCTCTCAGCTAGTATTGTATATGGGTGGTGCCATTATTTTGG